AATTAACAATTGGGTTGCCTCCCAAAAAGCGCATTTCTTTAATGTCTTTGGCTAGACATTATCATGTTTTGCTCATGGAGGATAAAATCTTGTGGCTCGCTTCAATGCTTCATCTTCAATGTGATCCTGGTAACCCTCATAGATGGAGTAATCTTTGAACACACGAGCTACGGTCTTCCATGGACTAGTTGATGGCGTCAAATAATCAAGCAGTGATCTCAATTCTTCATCCACTCCTCCATCAAGAGCACACAACGGTTCAAGATATTTGACCATCGCTATTCTTAACTTATTTCTGCCATGAGACTCAAAAACTTCTGGTATAACAAAATCAATCTCATTAATAGAAATCATGGAGTAAGAGTTAAGAAAATGCGGGTTAGGGAATGGAGGTGGTGTCACCACATTTGATGATTCTTCACTGGATTCTTTCACTTGAATGGGTTGCGGTTGGGGTTCTATTTCTTCCTTTTCGGCTTCTTTTTCAACTGCATCTGTAGATTTCTCATTTTGACACTCTTGTATCTCCTCATCACTAGTCAAGCAAATTGCACTCTCATTTTCTTCTAGATCAACAATGGTTTTCGAGGGCAATTCTTCCATTTGAGAAGCCAATCGATTTATTCTGGATGTCAATAGACATAGTTGATCTGCCAGATAACTCATTGCATCCTTCATCATCTCATTCCTCATTTGTGTCTCCTGTTGGAATTGGTATGTATTAGTAGCTATTGGTTCAACTATTTCTTCAAGAGACATACCTGACATAGATGACGATTCTTGAGACTCATACTGCTGAAAATTCATTGGCCCCGTTGTATAATTATAATCGGAGTTATCCCACCATTCTTGATCATACCCGTTTGGATTAGGGTTATACCACGTTTGAGACCAGGGTGAAAAATCTCCATAATTATTGAGTGGGACACTCAGATTATCTTGATATTCGGGGCACATACCGGTTGAATGATCCCTGGCATAACAAATTTTACAGGTTGCAGCAGCCATTCTTTCTCTAATAGAGTTTAGTGTCTCTGAATATGCAGACTTAGCAAAAAAACTAGTCTCATCGCCTTCCCCGGAAATAAAATTTAGTATATCACTAAAATACGGAGTGTTAGAAGCCATAAACTATATAAAAAAAAATAAGAGAAAAATAAAAAAAAATAAAAAAAATAAACTCAAAAAGAAACAAATTAATCTGGGACCAGTCCCCGGCAACGGCGCCAAAAATTGACAGGTGTCAAGCCTGTGCAATAATAAATACCTGCTCAAATAAAATAAAAATTCTGTATATAGCGGTAAGCAGGGTCGAATCCACAGGGACTGGGGATAATTTAATTTCTTCTCAAATTCCAGATATGGCGGGTTTTTGAAAATGAGAGTAACTAAATTACTTGGAATAAATTAAAATAAAATAAAATAACTACAACTCAAATAACTAATTATCACAATAAAAATAATAATGGACGAACTCTAGCCAAGAGACAATTTCGGAGTTGGTTCACTTAATTCAATCACAGATGCAAGGATTATTCCAGTTACTATCTGATAAATTAGTTATAGTTGTCATACACGCGATAAACAACCAACTCTTCCTCAATTTGTCGATAGCCAAGGTACCACCGTTGACTATTTCTCTAATCAGGAAACAACCCTAGGTACGACCATAGAAGTTCAATTCCCTAATTGCATGAATAATTAGAAGAGCCTAATTCTAACCAATCAACACGCTACGAGGGTCTCTTTAAGTTAGCATGTCTATCTCCCTGACACAAACCCAATCATGCCAGTTGCCACCAGTTTAGAATAATTAAACAATTACGGATTTAACTACCCTAATTGGCTTCAGGTTATTGAATTAATCTAGAATCCGGGCCCAGGATAATCGAATAATAAAACAACCATATGAACATAAAGCAGAAGATAGACGAATACCAGTGAATAATGGAAATAAATAAAAACTAATTCGATCTCACAAATTTAGTAGAACCAAGTCCTCCGTTGTTCCTCGACTAGAAAAACTTAGCCACGCCTCATGAGAAAATCTCCAAGTAATTTAACTGAGGTCCAGGCCATCAAAAGAGCCAAGAAAGAAAAGAAAACTAAAACTATGCTAAAGGCTAAGCTAAAACTATTGATAACAAAACCTCCTGTACGTTTCTCCCTTTTTAAAGCCAAAAGAAAGTCTAATGCTATCTCTAGTGGTCCCCACTGAATTGAGAGTCCAAGGGCCAAAGAATTGGAGCTTTGCCAAAGTCCTTGTTTTTAGTTTCCTCTTTACCCGTAAGACTCCTAGTACAAGTCCACCCTTTTCAGCATAAAGATAGGAAATCCCTTTTTGTAGCATCCTGTGGAGCCCGGCTTGTATTTCCTTTTAGAACTTCCCATGTGTGGAGTGTTTTTCTTAATAAAGTCTCCTTTTTAGCACTTGTTTGCTCCACTTCCTGTAATTAAGGCCAAATACCAAATATAAGTACATTTCAACAATTAAAACAATATTTGACAAGGACAAAGAGGAAAATTAATCATAAAATTAACAACAAATTATGCCCTATCAAACCTGATTTAAAATTTTTAGAAAATCAATTATTTGGGATAATTTCAGAAACCTCCCTTGAGGTTTCTAACAATTGCTCTCAAATCCCCTTAAGTTTAAGAAATTACACTTACCTCCCTTGACATAGTAAAATACCTATAATGCCCTCCACTTGACAGACAATTTTAAATTTAAGGCAATACATTTACAAAACCCAAAAGAAATATTCTATTTTTTTTGTCTCTTGTCTATTTTCGCTCCTTTATTTTCTAGTTAATATAACCTATTTTTATTATCTTCATTTTTGTTAATATTAGCAAATTAAAATTATAAAATCACCAAGGGAGCAGATTATGTGTCAAATTAGAAAGAAATGAAGAGACTCGCAATGATAGAGAAATAAATAATGAAATTGATGATTGAAATAGGAAGAAAAACTAAATATGTGAAATTAGTCATATTTTGCTTGTTGTCAAAAAACTTTGATAAAATGTCAATAGTTACATAAGGATCTCTTTCATTGAATTAGAATTTGTTATTATGATTTTATTGTCGAGGTAGAATTTATCTCTATTTTAAGATTTTAATATTTTTAAGGCCATAGGAGGGGTTGTAATAGTGGTTCTAGATCAAATTAGCTTGTACTGAAAAGGTATTTGAGATTTGATATTTAATTTTGGGGGTATAAAATTGGTTATCAACGGGGCTTGTCTTTTTTTCTCTTTTTTTTTTTTTGCGTGATAAGTATTGATATTGTATATGCAATTTGGAATCTTTTGAACAGTTACTTGATTTTAGAACTTATGTTTGGATGGTTGTTAGGAATTAGACTTGTTGATTTGTGCAAAGTGTGGAAGAAAATGATTGAGTACAGTATATTTTTCTTTATTAATTTTGTACAAAAGGGCAATTTAGAATTTTTAAGAGAAAATTTAGTTGGTTAGACCTACATTGTTACTAAATAGTAAAAATAGGGGAGGTATATGTAATTTTTAAAACTTAAAGAGAGCTCTTTGTAATTGTTAAAAATCTCAAGGGAGATTTGTAAATTTATATTATTTTGAAGGAATAAATGTAATTGAGACAAAAAAATGTGATATTTAATATTTATGTTATTTTATACTTTTTCTGAACTTAGTTTGCCCCAATCAATACAAATGCACAAACAATAAATCATTCTTTGTTCCAAGAGTACTTTTATTTTGTAATAGTATCAATACTTTTGTGTTTTGGTTAAATTTAGATGACCTAAATGTTCATTTTTATGCCATTTGAGTTTAAACTTTTAATTTTTGAATAATTTGTTGCTCCCTTTCAAGTCATTCTATGAATTGTTTATTAGTTTTAGTGAAATTTTCTTATTATTATTATTATTATTATTATTATTTTGCTAACAGTGGATTGTAAAATGATCTATAATGTTATTGTAATTATAGTAATATCTGAATATATTGAAATTCCATTGTTCAAATTTAAATAGCTTAACTTTGAAGAGAAATGATTTGATTTGGTGAAACTTATTTGTATTTCTCCATGATGGCATGCTTTATGATTATAGAGTTAATATCATTAAAAATTGTAAGATGTTAAGATTATTTATTATACAATATTCAAACTAACTTGGATCTATTTTTATTACCATAATTCAAAGGATGCTTCACCTTTGTAATTATTATTATGATTGGCATTGATGAATATAATATTCATTAATTGTAGTTTAATACTATTAGTTGATACAAGAATATGATTGATAAAGTTCATTAAATATAATCTATATTGCAATTTAAATAAATAAATTCCCAACATCAAACTCTTTGCCTACCTTAGTATTCCATTTCGTATTATATTTTGTATTAATTTTTTTTACTTAATACAAATATACGCATATTAAAAAGGTGCTCTTAAGGCTTAATTTATTTGTATCTAAGAAATAAAAAGATTCGTGGTACTTTTTAAGAGATTTATAGTACCAATTTATTATGTTTTGTTTCATGTTTGAAGTACTCTTTAAACTTGGATTTTGTAAATAAAATTTGTTCTTCTTTCTTTTGGTAAATAAAAAAGTATGGAATCTTTCATATTTTGTAACCACTGGCATGTTTGATATTATTTATTAATGATGAAATGCAACAATTTGTCCATTTATTAAACAGGAGTGTATTTGGTATCACAGAAACTAATATAAACAGGAGTGTATTTTTTATAATTTATAAATAAAATTTGTTCTTCTTTTTTTGATTTAATTCATTATAACTCAGGGGAATGTTTTTCGTTCTTATAATTGTTGGCATATAATTGACATTATTAATTATTGATGAAATGCAATGAACTAGTTGTTCTTTTTTTGGTTTAATTCACTAGAATCATCACAATTTCAGATGAACTTATTTCTGCACAAAAAATAAGGGGCCTTTTTTTTCAGGTGAATTTACAAAATAAATAAATAAATAGAGGAAACGATACCGTTTGAAGATTTATACATGCGATTTGGACCTCCTCCTCTTCCATTTGAATTTCTTCGAAACTCTATTCCTTTTTCTCCTCCACAGCTGCCGCTGCCATTTGCCGGCAATCGCCATCCACCTGCTGGAGTTGTCCCCGCCGTTTAGTGCTGGTCTCGGAAGTCCCTCCTCTCCCTCTGATTCTAAGCAATTCCTTTTTCCCTTCTTTTTTTTTGTTCTTTTTAAATTTCCGAGCAATGTAACTGGTTTCTGCAATTTCTACTTAGATCTTAACTGCGTTTGGAAGAAATTTTCTAGCCTATCTCGTGGTGGTATCATTTGATGGTTAGAGTTGTAGATTATTCGCTCTTTTCACTTGACACCGGGAAACTTACATTAGGTCAAGACACTGTAGTAAATATACGTTTATGAAGTTCAAGTTTTGATCACTGATTCGTTATGAAATTTCTTTTTTTTTTTTTTGCTAAAATGTTGTTTTGTGTTTTCTACTTTTTATATGCACTTTTTTTTTCTCTGGAAAGTTATGGAAAGAAATTAGACAGAAATATAGAAAATTTCAGACATATTTGAACTGAAAAGGTTCCAAAAACCTATTTAAATGAAAGAAGATCATCATCGGTAGTCATTAACGTTATTTTAAATGTATAGGTCTTGAAATTGCAAAGATTGTAGCTTCGACATCTCTGTTTTAATTTGCCCAGATTTCTTTTGTCTCTGTTCGGACCAATTAGGACACAGAAAATGTGCTGTTATCCCTATAATCCAAAGAAACGGATTAAATCAGTTAACAATTTCTTTTCCTTTTTCTATGGTAACACTTCCCCAGGAATTTCTTAGAAATTAGCCTTGTAATTGGGAGTTTATGTGAGGGCTTGTATTGGAAGTTTCATGTCTATTGCCTGTTACTGTGTGACATTGTAGCTAGCTCTGAATTAGCATATAATGAAAATTTTGTTCCAGACTGATCATACTTGTGCTGTTGCATTTACTGCCGTCTTTTGGAAATGTAGCCTCCATTTCATTGCTATTGCATAAGTATCATGATTGCTATCTTTTCTGACACCTCGTGTCCTTTCCTCAGATATTTGGCTATTCGTGTTGAATGTTGTTTTGTTGTAACGTATTTTCATGCCTCCCTGTACAAGGTCCTCCTTGATGGGTATGTCGCTGACTATGATTAGTTGTGCCTGTTAAATCGATTTATAGGTTCTTATCATGCCTTCTTTATACTTGCAGTAGCCAGACAAAAAGCTGGCGTTCTCTGTGACAGTGTACAGTCCATTTCGGGCGAAAATGACTTGAAACTCTGCATTACAAATTACTTCAAGGTATAAATCTATTGGTTTCTGTATGAGTTAATTGGTTCATGTTAACACCCACTGGCCTTGCCTTGCAATTTATTAGTGTTGTGTCCTTTTTTTTCCCCCAAACTTAAACCTTTAAAGATGAGTTGACTAAAGTAAGTTAAGTCTGCTTCATCAGAACAAGAAGCTTAATGTTTGTTTGCAATTTCATGTGCTGACCAAGTTGTTCCATGATCAGGGTGCATCAGGGAAGTATAGTCAGAAATCTGGCCAGGCACCTCTTTGTACTGATGATGAGCGTGAGCTGGAAAATAAGATGGCAAAACTTCAAAAAGGAAAGAGAGCAATCCAGTTAGATTCAACTGATGATCATGTTGAGGTTGTGGCTCCAAAGAGGGGAAAAGCTATGAATAAGGGGAAGTTGAAAATACCTAAACGTACGAGGAAGTTTGGCAATTCAAGCCCTGGGGAAGTAAATACTCAGTCATTTGAAATTGACAGTATTAGCTCCCACTTCAGTAAGAGGAAAGAGTCCTGCATGTCTCCATCAATTGGTATTCCTTCCCCTCCTGCCCCTACCGATGACATGTTCCATTGTCGGACAGCTTTGCAAGCGGTCGAAGCATATCTAGCGGCAGTTGAAGGGGATTTGTTAGAGGATGAAACGGAAGATGTCATTGTGCTATGTTATTGTGCCATGTTATTGTACTATGCTTGGATATTAGATGTCAAGCGCTGTGGCCCTAGTCCAAGGTAGACATTTTGTCTGCATTCACCATGTCATCGTGCTATGTTATTGCTTATGTTTGGATATCAGATATCATGATGTATGGTTGGATATTGGATTTGCTAAAGCTGTTTATGCTCCAGTGTTAGCTGAAGTAGTACTTGTGCTCATGAACTTACGTGTTTGCAGTATTGATGGACTTCTTTGTTGGTAGCTTTTAGTTCGTGACTGAGTTCCTTGGTTTTGGATAAATGATGGCACATATAGATGATATGAAATGGTGGCAAATCAATATGATGGCTGTTTCATGCTTTCATCATTTGCTCCCTATTTTTTTCCTCCAATTCTAGCATGAGAGGGGTGGGTATTTAAGAAGGAGGAGAGAACAGGGGGATTGGAACAAAGAACCTCTAATTCCTGATATCTTAGTTTTAGTCACTGGACTAAGTGTCATCATTCTTCTCTTAATTCTACTTAATGCATTGAGAATTGTTATTAAACTTTTGGTTTGCCCGGGCAGATATGGATGCCATGATTCAAGGGCATGGTGTTACCATGAATCCAGACATCATGACCTAGAACCCTGAGCTCTAAACTCTAAACTCTAAACCTTAAATCCTAAAATGGACTGGTGTTCTTTTACACTTGCAGAGTGTCATGCCATGGTCACAAGGTACATGGGGGTCCTTGCTATTAGGGGTACTGGACCATTACAAGGGGGCAGGGCATGAGTATTCAATTAGGCATGGGGAAAACTACAGTGGAGACATTCAGCTTCTCGCAAAAGCAGGTAATCCTCTTCGCCAAAGCCAAAAATGGTATTAAAATTTGGATAGAGGTGGACTTCGGGGTAGCTGAAACATAGGATAAAACGCTGAGGCACAAAGCGAAGCATCGCATATTAAGAGGGAATAAGTTTGTGAGAAAGTGATTAGAGGCGATATGACATAACTATACTCAAATAACTATACTCAATAATTGTTATACAGAGTATGTTTTTAGAGAACTAGACTATGCAAATCTTCCATTTTTATTATTGGAATTTTTTTTAGATTTATTTTCACTAAAGTTTATGTTAGGATTCCACTTCCAAAAACCTTTATGCGAGATGAAAAATTAATTAAAATAGTAGGAAAACTTATTGGGTGTTTGGCAATTTTCTATCACAGAAATGAGGAATCAACTCATCCAACCAAATTAGTTCCTTAGCTCAGTGGCCACCACTACCAGCCACCACCAAAGTTGGTGGGGTGGGAGGTTAGGGGATCAAACCTTGCCTCCCACTATTGGTCACAAAATATGGCAAGCCACTTTGAAGTGGCTTATCAAATTGCCTAACTAAACCAAATGACCAATCACTCTATGTAGGGGTGGGCACGGATCGGGTACCCGTCTCATTTATCATTTGACTGATCCAACCCGCACCTTACGGGTCAGTTATTTTCTGACCTTTACTCGCCCTGCATATCAGCGGGTATCCGACCCGCCTCATTTATTATTTAATTTTTTTTAAAAAATGATTTATACCAATTTAATTTTACATGTTACACATTCATCTAAGATTTAATAAAAAAAAATTTCTATAAAAAGATTTCCTACCAAGAAACAAGCATGTGAAGAGAATATAAGATAAAGGAAAAAAATTAAAAGAATTCAAAATCAATAAAAGTTTGAAATAAGTAGCACAATTTTTAATATATATGTTTCACATTAATTAAACTTTTTTCTATAAAATATAAGATCATGGTCTCTACAAATGAATCTTGTAAATAAACTATAGTCTCTCATATTTGTAATGCAATTTGTTCAATAAAATTACTTATTTAGTTCTAACTTATTATTTTATAGTGTGTGTATAAATAAAAAATATATATATATGCGGGGCGGATCGGGTTCTCGCATGTTTTTAATTATGTGACCCTAATCTGCCCTGCATCTTAGCGGGTATCTGATCCTCTTTTGACCCGATCAAATAATAAAAATCGAACTAATTTTCAAATTGGATCGGATTGGATATGACGATTTTTCGGTTAGCGCATAATTTTGCCCATCCCTAACTCTATGCCGCATGAATTTGACCGGTCAACAGTCTCACCAAGGCTGCTAGATCTCCAATCGACTAAAACCACTTCATTGCTTCAAAGTTCAAACTTGAGTGAAAACTTTCAACCATTACATTTCTAGCTGAACAAGGAGGTTGGCCAAAAGGATTTTCTGAGGTGCAGAGAAGAATTCTTCTTCATTCTTGAGTTTAGCATCAATCGATTAGTTTAGCTGTTCAAGATTTGAACGTTGTTGTTCCATAGCTGCTTAGCAATCCAACACCCCACTAAGAGATGGCCTCTTCCACTTCCACCTCCTCCAACTGTGTAGATTCAGTCTTGAATGCTTTGGAAAATCTGGATGGCCTTTGGGATTTAAATGTTTATCAATCTGAGCAACTGAAGCGGGAGTATAGACTCATGAGGACATTTCTTCTCTGCGCCAGAATATGGAGCACTTCTGACAACAACGAGCATGTAAGCTATCTAGAATCTTTCATGTCTAAACTTGAAGCTGGTATCCATAAACTTGCACTTAGACTTCAAATAGAGCAGAAAACAGACCGAGTATTCAATAAACGGCTGTTTATTTTGACTCGTAGGGTTCAAAGTAGTATCAAAAGTTTTAAGCAAACAATCAACCATTTTTACTTCATTTTCTCGAATAGTTTGTCGCAAACCAGTAATTGTCTGACGGGACATGAGTTGATGGAACTCATCGACTCTGTGCTCGAGAATCTGGTGGATGTTCTTCTCTGCATATTTGGATATGATGACCAAGACCTGCTGGAACTATGCAAAGACCTCCAGGAGAAGCTGAGGTTCTTCCATAGTTTGATTCGCTTTGCTGTGTTGCGAGTTGTTGAGCAAAGGCAACTGGGAGCTGCCTTATCCCACATCAATTCTGTGGATCTGAATGCAGCAGACCTCTTTTCCATCTGTTGGTTTGACATAAAATGTGAACAAGTGTCCAAGTGCAAGATAGATTTCAAAACCGTTACAGAAGATCAACCCCTTTGATCCTTAAGTCCGTGACATTTATATCCAAGTCCTAGTAGCTTCTAATTCATCAGGATCATGCATTATGTCAAAGGAGACTAATAAGCATAGATTGGGGAATTTTGTTGATGCTCTCCTAGATAATTTTTGGGAGCTACTTAATTGCAATACCGGCTTAATGGATTCTACAACCAGTCAAATGCATATAGTCTATGAGGGACTGAGATTCTTGAGAACAATTCTTAAAAACCAGCATGAGAACTTTGATAAGCTACCTGAAAACGTGAAGGATATTATTGGAGATGCTGTTGGTGAAGCTAAAAGTGTGATCCACTCACTTTTTATGCATGAATTGAAAGAGGACTCAACCAAGGATATGGATCATGTGTTCTTTGCTTTTTCAAAAAAATATTAAGCTTATTAAGGCAGAAAATGGAGACAGACATTATGTAAGCACCATCATGGTGTCGCGCCCCATTTTTCGCAATGAAAAAATAAAAGGGTTTATAAAAGACTTGATTTTATAAATGAAAAATAAAAAAGGGACCTAAAATGGGACTTTAAAAATGCGACAATTTGAGCTCAAAATTTAGTCTAAAAGGGTTTTTAAGAAAAATTAGAAATCGCCACTTGGTATCGAATTTGGGTGTACCAAGTCACCCAAAAAGTGTTTTTAAATAAAATAAAATAAAACCCTTTTCTACAACTCCAGGTCTTTGAAAACAGAGAAAATGAGTTCGAAAGTCACGGTTGAAGAAAGGGAAGGCAAAGGTTCAATTATCTTAAACCTAAGGCACCCTTTCAACCTAGTCTAAGCTAGTTGCGTGGTTTAGTCAAAATTTTCTTAATCTAACCCTTAAATTTATCACATTTGGATGTTTCCTACATGGATGCAAATAAAAATATCGAGAGGGACAAAATATCCATTCAAGGGTTTAATTGATACCAATCGCATTAATTGCAAAGGCCAAAATAATTCCTTGAAGGGGTCACGAATATGCGAATGATGAAATTAAAAGAAAAGAAATTAAATTAAATTAAATTATATACATAGATATAAGTGATCAAAGAAAAAGGGAATGCAACATAAAGGGTACGGGAGGCAAAAACTCGTGACAATAATTTTCTTATACAGGGATTAATGGAATATTTAAACTAAAAAGTTATAATCACCCATTTCTCATGTTTGAAAAAAAATTCTCCTAATATGCACAAGCAAATGAACTAACTTATTATATAATGTCCTAAATGAAATGCAATTCTAAATGACATGATTAACACATATAGAGGATAGGGGATAATATAATAGGAAATATCATGCAAATGGAAAAAGATCCTAAAAATGAAAATATGCGTGAAAATGTAATGAATATCACACAAAAATGAGTCTAACGCACGAACAATCTACGGGTCTAGCGTTGGACTGGATCATTTTCAAAAATCCTTACTAGCGTTGGACTAGCAAGTAAACGAAGGGAGAAATCACAACTAGCGTTGGACCAGTGTGGTGACGCCATGCATTAATAATTCATAGTAAAACAAATAAAGCATAAATTAAAACAAATAAACACATAAAAGCACGAAGCACATAACACGTAAACATAATATCTAGATGAAAAAATCCTAAAGAAAGCGGGTAAAACATATAACACATAAGCCACATAAACACGCAAAGACCTATCTATTACAGTGGAGAATCTAACTACAATCTAAAAGGGAAAAATATAATAAAACAAATATAATTATTCTATCTATTACATTTTTGAGGTATTTAAATGCCTCTCAAATAATTATAAAAACTAACTAAATAAATATAAGAAAATTTGGATGAACATTTAAATCAAATAAATAAAGCATATAAAAACATATAAACATATAGGAACACATAGGAGCACATAAGAGCACATAATTGATATTGAAATAATAATAGGGGTACCTCCCATTTGAAGTGGTGACTAAATGGAGTCAAATTGCCCTATTTATACTCAAAATGAACAAAAGGATCATGGCACCAATTTAATTGAAAATAATAATAATGATAGAAATACTAAATTCTCCTTAACATGTCAAAAGCAAAGAAATTTAAGAACATCTAAAAATTACAAGTTAAATATACTCAAAAGTAACATAATTAGCTATTAAAGAAAAGAAGCAATTATAATAAAGAGAGTCAAAATTCATCAGGGACTGAATTGCAAAAATTGGAAAAACTTTTGGGGACAGAAATTATATTTTTCCAAAGTTTGGGGGTCAAAATTAAATGAAAGATAAAATTAAAGGACCAAAGTGCAATTAATTTAAGGACCTAAGTGAAACAAATTAAAATGTTCTGGGCTACAGTGAAACTACTCCAAAGATCAGGTGTTAAAGTGAAACTTTCGGTTTCTGATTTGGGCAAGAAAAAGGCATCGGGCCTCCCTTTTTATTTTACTTGGGCCGAACCTACGTAGGCCCAGTCAAAAGTCCAAGTCAAAACACACAGGCCAGCCAGTCTTTTATAACTCAAGCCCGATCAAAAAACACATGGGCTCCAACCTCCTAGCCAAACCAAAATCCAAAAGATATAAACCAAAACCCATTTCCAAAACCCAATAAAAAAACAATTACAAGCCCACCAAAAAAAAACATTAGCCCAATCCATTTTTTTTTCTTTCCTTCCTTTCTTTCTTTTCTTTTCATCCTTCCTTCTTCCTCCACTTCCAGCCGTTTCTTTCTCTTCTTCTTCGGCCAGCTGAAGAAGCTTCAGCTGGCGGCCATAGCGGCTGCCGGCGGCACCGGCGAATTTTCCGGTCGCCAAAATTTCTCAAAATACACCTTCTCACTCCATTTTTCGCGTAGATTTCATTTCCGGAGTTACTTTTTACAAAAAAAACCCGAAGTTGGCCAAAATGCCCAAAAACAGCCGCGGTTTTACTTATTTTTAAACCCTCAAATCTTCACTAAAAAACATAAAATTTATACTACAACACTCCTTGCAACTTCTACATTACAACTATGATGTTAATTTGACAAGAAAACGACATAAAAAGGCTAGAATAAAGCAAAACAACCCCTAAAATTCGTTTTTTCCAATTTGGCATTTTCACAAGCACTTGACATGCATTCATGGGCCCGTTTCTTTTTCCTTAATTCTGTGCATGACTTGTCCCAAAAATTCAGCAACCCAACAACCAAGGAAACCAGCAAAAGCAAAAGAAAATTAAACAATGAAGCATGGATTTAATGTGCTAAACAAAACTAAAAAAAAATTACCTCAATGTAGATGGCAATCCCTTGGTTGAAGTTTCTGATGCAAAGCTCCAATTATCCAACCGGTTGCTGCCTCTCTTTTGATGTTTGAAGTTGTGTGTGAGTGTGTTGTGTGAAGTGAGCAAAGAAAAAGCTGAGAGGGAGCTGGGAGGAGGAAGAGTGCCCTTTCTTCCTTATTTTTTTCGGTTGAGAGCCAAGAGAGAGAGCCGAGAGCCTCCCTTTTTTTCTCTTGTGTGTTTTTTTTTTTCCTTTTTGCCCAAGTGAGCCGAGAGGGATTTTTTGGGAAGAAAAAATTGGAGTGTTGGTTTTGTTTTTGCTTGTCTGTTGAGTCCTTGTGTCTTGGGGAGAAAAAGAGAACCGAGAGAGACAATTGAGGGGATCCCTTTTTTTCTTCTTCTCTGCCGAGAGGGAGAGAGCCGAGAGATGTATTTTTTTTTGAGCCCAAAGTGGAGTTTGAGTGTTAGGTTGGTCAAAAATCATGATTTTACCAAATGACAAGAAAGGTCAAGAAAATTGAGTGTAGGAATGGATTAAGTGTATTTGGTGGAAAAAAACTGATTAGGATGATTTGATTTCTTGATTTTCTTTTTTTTTTTGTTTTTTTTTTAAATAAACTTGTAAAAATAAGAAAAATGCACATTAAAATGTAAGAAAATAAATAAATTACTAAATAGAAAAAATTCAAGAAAACGTTAAAATTTTTACAAAAATTTGGTGTCTACACATGAGAAAGGTAAATCTTGTTAATAAGGAATATGTGGGGATTGGTGATGATGAATTCACCTGTGGAGCTCAAAAGAAAGCGCAGACTCCACCCCATTCTTGGTTGCAATGGACTATGCCAACATCCAATCAAGTTGTGGTGGGATTTCATGATGAGGCAGGACAAATAATCTTTCAGCTGACAGGAGGATCAGGAGCGTTGGACGGTGTTTCTATTGTTGACATGCCTGGACTGGGTAAGACTACTTTAGGTAATAAAGTTTACCAAGATCCTATGATTATATGCCACTTCCATATTCGTGCTTGGTGTCGTATTTCTCAAGTATATGGAAAGAAAGAGGTGTTGTTTCAGATTTTGGCTTGCATTGATCCTTCGGACTCTGATGAATACCCTAGGATGGATGCTGATGATCTTGCTATAGCACCTACCATTGTTTAAAGGGGCAGGTATCTCCTAGTTTTGGATGATGTTTGGGACATTGCGGCCTGGAATGCGTTAAAAGTTTCATTCCCAAATGATGCCAATGGAAGCAGAATTCTTTTAACAAGTCGAATTTCTAAGTTGGCTTTGGAAGTTAAACCTGCAAGTAAACCTCTTCATCTTCGCCAACTTACTGATGATGAGTACTTAGAATTACTACAAAAGAAGCTGGCAGAAAGAGGTGGAAATCCTCCAGCACTGTTTCTACATGGAAAGCATATAGCAAAAGGTTGTAAAGGTTTACCTCTAACAGTTGTTATCACAGCTGGGATTCTTGCAAATTTAGAGCAAGATGGTTGGGAAGAAATTGCAGAACGTCTAAGTTCGGACACCGTGTGTGGCACAGAACATTGCAAAAGTATATTAGAGCTGAGCTACAAACATTTAGCTCATTATTTGAAGCCATGCCTTCTTTATTTTGGACCATTTCGAGAAGACCAAGAGATACCTATATGGACATTGATGCGGTTGTGGACTGCTGAAGGCTTTGTCCAAAAGACAGAGGCGAAGAGAATAGAGGACAGAGCTGAGGACTACATAATGGATCTAATTGGGAGAAGCTTGGTTATGGTTGACAAACAAAAATCTACAGGTGGAATCAAAACTTGCCGCATTCATGACTTGTTGCATGAATTTTGTTTGAGAAAAGCCACAGACGAAAATCTTCTAAGGTTGAGACGTGATGATGCAGGAATTCCTAATTTTGATGAGCCAAGTAATACACGTCGATTGTTTATTTACTCTAAAGCAAGGCATTTTCAGAAGTCAAGGCTATTTTGTCCTCTTCTAAGCTCTCTAGTGGTCTCCACCCAGAGTGAGGAATATGGAACTCCATACAATGTCTCATCCATTTTTCGCATCTTCAAACTTCTGAGAGTGTTGGATTTGGGAAAAATTAATCTGGGATTTGTTTTTCCCAGCGAAATTACGTTACTTGTTCAGTTGAGATACTTGGCGTTTGCAGGTAGCATGAATTACATCCCATCATCAATAGCAAACCTTTGGAATTTGGAAACTTTTATTCTAAAATCTTTGCATGGTATTCTTTTTCTTCCAGATACCGTATGGAATTTGCAGACATTGAGGTGTCTCTGCATAAGTGGTAAGTTTTTTGATCTTAGTTTGGCCAAAGACAACTTGGACAGCTCCTCAGATTTGTGTAACCTAGACACTATATCAGCTCTTGAGCTTGATTTGGGGCAAAGCCAGTGGCGGAGCTAGGAATTGCAATTAGGGGGGGGCGAGTCTCTGTTATTTGGACCAAGTCCAAATAACTTTCAAATATTATTGTTTGGGTCCTTGAGAGAGGGGGCAAAGTGAAATTTTTTATCAATATTTGGGGGGGCAAAACAATATAATAAAAATATTTTTACTTAGAAATTTTTTTTTTTTAACAATTGGAGGGGGCGTGGTTGCCCCCCCTGGCCCCCCCCCTTCCCTCCGCCCCTGGGCAAAGCATGGATAAGATAATGCAGAAGTTTCCAAATATCCGCAAGCTGAAATGTAGTCTCCGTGAAACAGAAGAATCTTTTGGGGATTGGAACAAGATTGTGGCAATGGACTTTCTGAGACGACTGGAGTCACTGAAGTTGTCTTTTTACCGTGTGAAAGAGAAGGATTATGAGTTCAGCTTCCCCATGAATCTAAAAAAGTTGACCCTGGAAGCATTTCCCTGGAGTATGATTTCCTCAATAGGAAGCCTACCTAATCTTGAGGTTCTCAAATTACTCGGTACAAAAGCTGGTGGGGAAAAAATATGGAACATGGAAGAAGGGGAATTCCCTAAACTCAAATTCTTGAAATTGGAATTGTTGTGCATTGTCAGGTGGACGTGCTCTGGTGATCATCTCCCCTGTCTTCAGAAATTGGTTTTGGAAAGCTGCTGGAACTTGGAGGAGCTCCCTTCTTGTTTGGGGGAAATTCCAACTCTTGAATTGATTCAGGTGCATCGGTGTCCAGGCCATGTTGGAAGTTTGGTTCAAGAGATTAAGGAAGAACAGATGAACTGGGGAAATGTTAATCTGAAAATCCTCGTCTTAGATCAAAGAATATTGTGAATACTTCTTTATGTTTACATTCAGATTCAGATTCAGAGGAATACTGAGACCAGTCCTTATTTTAAAAGATTAGAAGGATGAACTTCTTGCTGCCTATAATGCATATATGTAAATGAAGATGCTTTAATAACAAATCAATGTAGTTTTTGACATATTGATACAATTTCTTCAGATGATTAAACCTGAAATCTGTTAAAAGATGGCATTGCAGATTTTGATGTAGCCCAATGGACAATGTCATTTCTCGTCCTAGAAACACCTTGCCATGTTAACTTTCTACCTTTTCCACCAACTTCTAAACTATAACAAAATTTTCTGCATCTTCATCAGTGCCCATGAATCTCAGGAATGCCATATAAACCGGAGCTGTTCCCAGATGAAACGCCTCAAAGTGCAAGCAGAATTGGTGGCCAAAACAGTTAAAAACCTGCGCAGACAAGAAAAGAAGACAGGGTTTACATTTGATAAAATCAACAGGCAAACCTCTGATGTGTCCAGAAAACCTTGTGTACTTTGGTAGGATGCAGAAACACCTGATTCTTTCTTTTCCGCTGACTGTACGTAGTACTGTTGCAAGAATTAAATTTACAAAGGCATGCACTTTGGTAGGACGTAGAAACACCTGATTCTTTCTTTTCCTCTGATTGTATGTAATACTATTGCAAGAATTACATTTACAAAGGCATGCTTCGACTCTCATGTATTAATAACTCAAAAGCATATTTCCAAGAAAGCATGCCAGCATTTTATGTGACAAAAAGAAGGTTTAACAAGGTAAGTAATATGATCAATAAAAGTTTCTTAAACTTCCCAAGGTTGCTTGGTCAAAAGTTCTGACCAGCTTATCTTCGACCAATAACTGAGCAAAATGGCAGCATCAAAAGTTCTTAACCATATCTCCAGGCTCCAGCCCAAGCTGTAGTTTACACTGGACGTTCCAGTTTCCATTGTTCAAACGGCATTATCTGTATAACTATGCAACCTATAGAAGGTAAAGATTGGTTCCATTACTAACCGCTGGAAAACATAGTTTACTAAGCAACAAAGTGAACATGAAAAGTTATGCATGTGGATAGTAAGGAAAACAACCCATTCGTAGGGCACTCATCCTGCCAACCAGAAGAAAACAAAAAATCCTACTTATTTTAGAATTCCTGTTCAATATGGTCAACTAGGCCTGGACAAAAATCAACTGAATCAGTAAACTTCTACACAAACAACTAAATCATGTGAAAAAGTCGATGTTGATCCTCTCCCTGAGAAGATACAAGAAATCCATATCCCTCTTCCATGTGACAACTTCATTTAGTCAAAAAAACAAATTGCTTGTTTTTGCTACTTCAAACCTACTGAAATGAGTACCAAACCATGTACTTTTGCAAACCATGTACTTTTGCCTATGAATTGCAGCAGAAGTACATGCAAGACAGGAAGTAGACAAAGACTCACCTTCTCTTTTCTTCTCTCCTATGGTCTACTATATTTTCGTATCATATTATGGTTCTTCAGGCCTCTATCAAAGAGTTATCACTATCTTATTATAAGATTTGATTACCAAATTCACTGCCCAAACGTGGCACTCACTAGATGTGATTCACTCCTATGGTTGAAAAGCCTGCATATAAACCCCTCACGATTTTAGTTAACGCGTCACCATCTATTTTTCCGTTAAAACTAATAATTAATAGCAAAAAATCAAAGTCAAAGCCAAACTAATGAATTAACAAATTTAGTTTTTCATTACTTCTTTTTTTCCCTCCAAATACAAAAAGGAAATAAATAAATATAAGTAAAAATAAATAAATAAGAAATAGAAAATAACATTAAAGATTTGGTCTAAAAACCTAAAATGATATTTTTAGTCAACAAAGATTTGGTATTTTTTGTTTCTTATTTATTTGTTTTATATTTCCCTTCCATATTTCTTGCTTCTTATTTATATATTTTTGTATTTTCCTTCCATCTTTTTTGTTTCTTAATTATTTTTTTATTTCTCTTCAATTTTTTTATATTTGGAGAAAATTAAGATTTTGTAGGTCAAAGGATAGATTTTCAAATCATCTCTTCTCTTCCAAAAGAGAGAGGTAGAGAGAGAAGCAAAAAAAAAGTAGTGAAAAAGTGAATTTATCTATTTGTTAGTTTGATTTTTATGGATTTAGAACAATTCTCATATAGAGACACACTGATGGGAAGCAAGGTTTGAATCATTGACCTCTCACCCCACAAATAATGTGGTGGCCAACTCCTCTAGAGGGAGTTGGTTAAGGGAGTTGGCTAAACTATAGATATTTAAACTATGAAAGATTACGTGATAAAACACCAAACTACAGGAAAGGTAAAAGATAATTTACCCTAATAATTATTCAGTCTAATTCTCAAGGACAGTCAGTAAGAACAAATTTTTTTTTTCCAATTTATTTCTGGATTAACAGATGGCATGATTGATGTTGCCAATGTCACCAACTATGATTGCCATTTCCGCTCTTGGGTCAAACCGCTATTTCAACGAGCCTCTGAGATAGCTTTCAAATTTGTCAAACATGTAAGAAGCCTCACGCATCAATTAAGAAAGACCGTAGTGAAATTACCAAGCATCTTCCGTGGAATTTATAGCATCCAATTTTCTCAAGCAATTATTAATTTACATGAAGTCAATTCTATCCTTATGTCGTAAGAATTAACAAATTAGATAAAAAAAAATGGGATTAAATAGGAAATAACTCCTTTTGGTGAAGAGTTAAGCAAGTGCTTACATTAATTCTCTATTGTTTAGAAACCTACATTTTTCCTCCTCATGATTTTTAGAAAATCGAAACTGTTAATTTTTCCATCAAATTTAGCAGCCGAAGGAAAATAGTTTTTTAAATGAAATAATAATCAGATTACTAAGTTACCATTTAAAACATGGTTACAATCAGATCATTAGGAAAAACTGGGTCAAATCATTATTTCACGTTGCCTTTAAGGTAAAAACATAATATCACAAAAAAGCTTCTTCTTCTCTGATCATCTTCTCCAGACAACCGCTCCTATGCACCGCAAGCAACCACCGGACGGAATTACTTGACATAAATAAGCTGGAACCATGGACACAAATACCATATACCCACAAATGAAGAAGTAGATCAACCACTCCATCCATTTCTGATATTTTGAAGACGCCATCGTTTTGGGTCATAAGATTTCGGGTTTGAATAGTACTAATTTATGGGTGACTCAGAAGTGAATAGGAACAAAATTTTTTTAAAAAAAAAAGAAGAAAAGGGAAGGTCTGGTGGTGAGAAGGAGAGATACAATGTTTTAACAAAAAAAATACAAAAAAGAGATACACTATAAGGCGTGTGGATGGAAAGAAGAGAACAAAATTTTCTATTTTCCCATTTTATATAATATAAATTGCCTTATAATCAACTAACCAAGTTACCCTTTATGACTGTTAGCTACAACTGAAAACTTAATATTTTATTTTAATCAAAAGTATAAGGGGGTTTTATAAAGGTTTCTAAAGTATAGGGAGTTAATTCGAATATTTGATTAATCATAAGGAGGTTTTTTGTATTTAACCCAAAAAAAAAAAAAGGTGCCTGCCAGGTCATGAAAGGCCCGAGCAACGACAAGTATTGAAGACTTCCAAGTGAAAATTCTAAGCAGCTTCTTCCCTGTTGCAAAAGCATCCAAATTTGTCAAAGTCTTGTTGCTTCTACATAGGGTTACAAACGAGTCGAGTCGAGTCGAGTTTTAGGTTAATCGAATCGAGTCGAGTCTCGATTAAATTTTACCAACTCGAACTCGAGCTCGAGTTCGATGAGCTGGCAATTTAAAGCTCGAGCTCGAAAAAAAAAATTTTAAAATTATTTTATTTTTTAAAAAATAAATAAAATAATTTTTTTCTTAATAAATAATAAAATATTAAGGATATATATGTAATTTTACTATTAAAATAAGAAAATAAAAAAAAATATATATATATACTTAAAATTAAAAAATATATATATACTTAAAATTAAAAAAATAAAAAATATTATATATATATATATATATATATATACTCGAGCTCGTGAGCCTAACGAGCTTCATATTTTGAGCTCGAGTTCGAGCTCGATTTCGACTCGAGCCAACTCGAGCTCGACTCGAACTTGACTCGAGCCGCTCGCGAGCGGCTCT